CCTCTGACTCCAGGGGGAGACGGTGCCAGACGCTGGGGTGACATCCCTGCTGCGTAACATTTGGTTAGGTTGCTCAGGTAATAACGGTGACGATTCATACTTGAAGTCCACTGATATGTATAAGCCAAATGCTAAGGAAATACACACCTTCACTTCACTCTTGACACTGACTCACAGCTGAAGAAGCAGCCAGCCTGAATGGATAAGTAAAGCAAATAACTGATTATTGCAGAGTTTACAATAAACAGAAAGAGTAAGCCCAGACAACAGCACAATAATCAGAAAGCCTGGGTAAATGCACTGGAAATCACAGAGTCTTTGTCTGCATGTCTTAACAAGGAGGCTAGCATTAGAATTCAAGTCCATATTTACTGCAGTAGAAAGGTATGAAGTTTTGTGACCATGGCTGCTTTTACTGTTGAGGGCAGAACCTGAACAATAGGAAGAATCAATGAGACAGGAGTCTCATTGAACCAGCACAACATGCAGACTCACCACAGGTTGTGACTCACCAGCCTTGTTATAGACTAATTTCCCCAACAAAGAATGGAATTGGGCTCAGGCCAGCTGTAGATATTTAGAAAACATCCAGTGAGAGCACTACAAATAGCCCTCCTGTCCAATTGGATGAATGGATAGAGATCCACTTCTTCTACCTTGCATCTGGAAAATGGGTAGACAGCATTATCAGCAGCCAGTGCGCTGCAAGCAATCTGTGGTCAACTTGAATAGACAAAAATTCTTGTCTTCTGTTCTGCTCCATAGCTTTTAGCAAAAAAATCTGCGCTTGTGATTTTCAGAAATTAACTTTTATTGTTGCACCTACTATTTACTGTTATTACAGTCTGATGCTCTCAGCCTGCAGTTGTGCTGTCTGTGAATGAGATGCTACTCAGACAGGAGTGACTTTTTACCATGTCCTCTCTGTGACAAACACTGGTTAAGCTTGGGTTACTCCTGACCCTAAATATGTTAAAGGAGGAATTAGAAGGGGAGAAGGAGGAGAAAGGAATACTTTCTTCTTTTTTATTTTTTTTCTATCAGTCTTCCCATTTCAATGATAAGGGCTCTCCATCTTTTTTTTTTTTTTTTTTTTTTTTTTTTTTTTTTTTTTTTTACCACAGCCTTTAGTGGTGCTAAAGTGCAGCAGCCATTGCTCTGTCTCCCAGGAGTGGCTCTACTAGCCATGGTATGGACCTTTCAGGAGAAAAGCTTGGTAAAGGAAAGGAGGAAGGATTTGTGGAAGGCACAAGGGCATGAGGAAGAGGATGAGACAAACAGATACCTTAGTGGTGAAAGACCATAAGGAGTAAAGGCACAGGAAGGGTCGCTTCTATTAGGGACAGACAAAAGAAGTGACAGAAGTAGGAGGAGGACAGGAGCAGCTGGCAGAACAGAGGCATACCCACGGGCATAGCAAAAATGCTGTGCCACGTATTTGAAAGTCCAAGTTCCTTGGTTATGCCTACTTGGATCTGGATCCCATGGAGTTTTTCCATGTCTGGTACAAAATGCAGTTCCTGATCTGGACTCACAACTTATGTAATGCTGCTGGATATCACAGAGGGGAAGAGAATTTTAGTGATGGTAATGCCAAGGAGGCAGACCCAGTTCCTCCCAGGAGGATAGGCTGGCTTTGCTTTGCAGTCACCTGTAAGCTCAGCAAGAATAGGGTATGCTGGCTGCTTGCCAGTGGTTCTCCGAAGACCTGTACCACAGGAGGTCTCTGAGAGGAAATCCATGCCAGGCAGCTTGTACGAATGTTCGCATTTGTCTGTCAGTGAAACCCCAAATATGCCTGGTGGGTGAACTGTCTGTTGATGGAGGGTTACAGGGTTACTTGTTGCTTCCTAAATCAGAGGCTTGAATATTCAGGTTGCACAGAAATAATGGCTCCAGACTGACTTGGAAAGGTAAACATGTGCCTTTACCATCACCACACCTGGCATTCAAGCATGGACAGTGCTTGGGGATTGGAAAGGCATCATGCAAAACCAAGCTGGATGCCTTCCTCCCCTCCCTTTTTATTTCTTTATAAAGGAAGGAAAAGATAGACATGCCAAGCCAAAATGACAGAGTACAGACAGATACAGGTATCTCCCCACAGCCAGCCCTCACCCTGCTTCAGCTCAGCTTTTCAGCCAGTCCCAGCATGCCGCCCACCCTCCCATCCGCTCACAGCTTTTTGCAGTCAGTTTGTGTGGCTTCACGACACTGTCAGCTTCTGGGAGCAGGAGCTGAAGCCAGCAGCATAGCAGCATAGCAGCACTGAACACAGTACAGAGAGAAAGGGGAGCAAAGAGCTTGTTTGAAGCAGTTGTGTGTAACAATATAGAAAGTCCAAAGATCATCAATCTGCTATAAAAATATTACACTTCATAAAACCATGTATTATAAAAAAATCTATTCGGAAATGCTGGTAAACACGATAAATATCTGTAACCAGCTGCCCTTCTCATACAGGAAACGTAAAAAAGCGCGAGCTTCAGAAGTTATTGTAAACATGAACATGGAGCCTGTAAACAAACTCCTAAATTACGGTCCGTGTTTTGTCAGTTTTGCCTGGTACTGCCTCAGGTAGCCCCTGCACAACTGGTTACCCAGTGGTCCCACTTCACCATCAGGATACTGCTCCCGGCTGGCCTCGGATCTCACCTGAGCTGCCTAGAGAACAAGTACTGATACAACATTAAGGAGGGGCCATTTGGCTACAAAGAACAATCAGAAACAATCTTTTAGCAACTAGTCTTCAATTTCTGCACTTCCAGAGGCCCGTTTTCAACTTTCCCTTTCAAAATTCCACTTCATCCAAAAAAGCATGCATTATCCCCATTTGCCTTTCCTCCATTTTCTCTAAAAATTATAAGCATCACATCCATTTGGGCGACACTTTCTGCACAAGCAGAATCTACAACTGTATATACGTAGGCAAGAATTGTGGTTGTACAGTTGAACACCCCCATAGTTAACACACAGCACAGGGTGATGCAGAACGCCCCATTTTTACATTCTGAACTTCAGGCTGCAGAACATTTACCCATGCCAGCCAACATTTGCATACACAGTCAGATGCCTCGTTAGCTATCTGTCCTGAGCACGCTGTCATTCACGTGCATGCAGGAATGCACGGTCTAGCCTTCCCAATCTCACAGATAGCTTGTAGCTCTGGGAACTAGTAGGACTTCACTTGTTCTGCAGCATTCCCATTCTGCACAGGCTTCTACCCAGTGCTCGCCTAAATGCTGAGAATTTCAGTTACGTACACATTTATTATCTTCACTTTCTGAGTAACATTACTCAAGTTTTTACTTTCAGAACTTTCCTTGCGCCTGCTGTGGGGGCAGTGAGGCCAGGGCAGGGAGCACATACCTCTAGGGGGTTTGGATGTGTGCTTTAAATGGATAGGTGGAAATGGGCTTGCACATTTTTCTTTGTTACAAACTGTACTAAAACATCTTATCAGTGTTATTTTAAGCCTTTTTATTTTAATCTAAAGGATATCTAAGCTTGTTGGCCTAATTGTGCATCTTTTAGGATTTAGATGCCAGGATCTCCCTTGGATCTTGCTTAAAGGAGCAGTACACAGATGTTCTCCAAGGGAATTTTGCTTCCGATTGTTTTCTATGGCATATTTTGCTACAAAATTCCATAGATACAGCTTCAACAGACCTGAATGAAAATCATTTTTGTGTGGAAGCTTAGATACCTCTTTTTCTGCTACAATAATCTGCACTGTCTTCCATGTTTGTCTGCCTTCGTCCTACTAGGGATTGCTCTACAAAATCAGGAATTCTCTCTGTGAAAACTGATGATTTCATAACAAACCTCAGGATTTCTTCTTTATAATCTCCACAGTGGCAAAAATACACATAGTCAGGACCATATCCCCACAGCACATCATCTGAAAGCATACACCTTCTGGTTACTGGCATTTTACACAAACTTGTGGCACACTTCTTGAAGCCAGGATTTGCCTCCCACCTTTGCATGCACAATCTGGCATGGGTATGCTGCTTGTCTAAAAAGCCCACTGCCTGCACGCACCTCAGTGGAGGGCCCTACTGCCCCATGCCAGTACATGTCACAGCAGAGCTGGTGCCTTGGTGCCTTGCTGCCATCCCCTGCCTGCTCAGATGCCAAGCACTTGCTTTGCTGACTATACTGACATTCTCACTTGGATAAGCTGGGACTGCATGTTTTTGATACACACACACAGGCATACATCTGGACACAATGGCAACAAAATCTTGATATTCAAGTACTATTATATGTAATTTATGGGCTTATAAATGAAAATAATTAATGAGCATCAAAATGTAGCATTCTGTACATGGCCCCAACCTTGTATGGTTAATAGGGTGATAACTGCTGGGCTATAAAGAGCTAAGCCAGGAAGAAATTCAAACTATTGAACTCCTGGAAGAGCAGCATCCTGTAAGCTTGGCCTACAACATAATCAGATGGAAAAAGAAAAAGCTCGAAAAATTAAGACTGAGTACATCAACAAGGGATCAGACTGTTACCAATGACTGTGAGGAGAATCCAAACTGAAACAAGGGGAGAAAGATGCCAGGAAATTTCTAGTGGAGACAAAAACTGTACCTAATATTTACAGCACTCTTTCTCACTGCCTATGTACAGTGACACATTAAAAAGACATTTCGTTGAAACAATTCAAATCAATTGGGACACCAGAAAATCCAGCCCTCCCTCCAGATGCCCTCAGCATCCCCATGCCACCTTGCCTTCCTGCAGACAGAAGTCACATCCAGGGAGTTGGCTGGCACATCTCTGCATCAGTCAAGACATCTCTGACAGCAGAAATGTATGAGACTTGATTAACTTCCAATGAAAAGTGTAAAAGCAGCAAATAGCTAATATTGAGCACAGCTTAGCCAGAGTAGAGAATTAAGCAAATTATTCTCTGCTGCTTTGTAAATAAACGTAGCCACACCTATGCATATTCCCACACAGCAATGCAAGCCAATTCACCCTCTGTGTGAAGTTTCACAGCATTGTTTATTCTAGAAAAGAGAAGGCCTTCAAGAGGAGCTGCTTTGCAGCATTCCTGTGTGCACAGCACATAAACCTGGACATTAAATATTGGTTTAAATTATTAAGAATAAATTTAAATTTAAAAATAGGCTAATGCAAACAAACAAAGTTCAGTTAACAGTGGAACACAGATAGTTTTAGGAAGCATTTGCTTTAGCAAATGCAACTAATCTTCCCCCTGAACACTGATGCCATGATCTGGTAATTTCACATGGCACCATAGTGCAGCACTACCCAGCCAGGCAATTGCCACCTCTAGCACACAAAGCTCCATGTTAACGTTTTGTTTTGTTTTTTTCTCCCTTCAAAATAGACAAAAACTCAATATAGCACATTAGCTTCTCCCCACAAAGCATCTCAGGTGACAAAATTCACTCAGAAAACAAAACAAAAGCATTATAAAGAAGAATCCTGGGCAGCTCGTGATCACCATATGCCACAATGGGTAAGAAAAACAATAAAAAAGGTAGCTCAGGGAATGAGGAAAAAGGTCCACTTTGCTGAGACCTTCTCAACCAAGTTTTATTTCCCTGAACTTGAATAATCCAGGCAGTAAGGTACAGATTTATTTTTTTTTTATATATATATAAATATAGATGTATATATATTTATATAAATATAAAAGCACAGCATCCTCCTGTCTCTCCTCCTAATTTATTATGGTTAAAGCTTGTGACAGAGTTGGCTGGGCCCCTCAGAAACGGGCACTCCCCAGTGGTGGCAGTGACCTTGCCTGCGTCCAGAGGCAGACGGCCTTTTTATGAGCTGAGACCAGACACCTTTGTCACCTCTCATCCATAGGCTCCACTACTTTAGACAAATGCTTTCCCACAGACCCATGGGACTCAATAGCCCTCTTGGAGGACTATGTTTCTCAGAGACTTTCTGCTCTCAGAGGACCAGACCTCTGTCAAAGTCAAGCTCACAGCGTGCACTTCTCCTCGAGCGCTGCTGACATTGTTCCAGACAGGGCAGGGGCAAAGTGCAAAAGATTTCTTGAAATCAGAAGGTGTTTCCACCACAGACAGCTTGCTCTCCTTCATGCTGTATAGCATTAATTTCCAGTAAGGTATTATCCATGTGTCTCTGCAGCCTTCAGTCCTCCTGGGGTGAGTGGAGACCAGTAGGCGACCAGCCGTGCACTTCATTGTGATGCTTGTGGGAACTGCTGAGAACATTCAAATCTGACTGCATCTTCTTTACAAAAAGTGCTTTTCTTGAGAAAAAAACAGTGAAAACTATGTTCCTGCAGAACATCTTAAAGACTCTTCTAGGGAGGGATGGATGGAGCGTGTCTACTTTATTTGGCTTTACCTCAGTAAGGAAACAGAGCTACTAGCAAAATTGGCACATCTTTGTGAAGTTGTTAAACTCAGGATTCTGGCTGGAATGTAAAAGAAACGATGGAGGAAAGGTAGATTTTGCCTTATGCTGGACTTCTGCTAGTTCCGGTGATTTCATGTGCAAGGGGTCCAGAAAAGTTATACTAACCAACTAAAGATGAATCTCTCAAATAGTAAACTGTGGGTTTCCAAGGAGACCTTGTGGGGCTACTGCTACAATCTGGTTGAGGTAAGTCTTTTCATGCCCCTCCGCTGAGCCAGATTGGAGGACAATACAGGCTCCAGCCTTGGTGCCTGAGGTGTTCGGTTTAAAGCAAAGTAAGTGGCTGCCATTGCACCCTGTACAATAGAAAAAGAGAAAACATTGAGCTAAAATTCATTTCTTAGATGCTTCTTCCCACTCTTTCCCAGTCCAATCCCCTGGGTGCAGGCCCAATTTCCGTTAAGTGATAACAATGATTGCTGGCTGACAGACAGATGTAGTGCCTGATTCAAAACAGTGGGCAGCAGTACATAGACAGAGTTCATTGTAACGCAGCTGAAAGTTAACAATATCAAGCAGGCGATGAGTCAAAAAGCTTTACTATTAGTACAGTGCCATATTAAATTTCGCCTCTGTGGCAAACTTTTCTCAATTCCTCTCCCTTTTTCCAGAATATTTACAAAAATCCCAGCTCTTTCTGCCAGAAAGGGATAGCTAGGAGTGTAGGACATACCTTCACCAGGTGAACATCCTGTCTGCTAAGTTGATTTTGAGACAGATATTCCCTGTTCACTATCCATGGATGTCTCAACACTTGAACTGCTGTGAGACGCTGATGAGGGTCTACGTGAAGCATCTTAGACACGATATCCTAGGTTCAAAAGGAAGAAAACAGTAAGAGGGAAAAAGTAATTAATAACAGCACAGGATTTAGTAAGATCTTCTCAATGACACAGTCATCACCAGCCTGTACAAGTGAGAGGAGTCTGCATTTTAGAAATGCTGTATATTTTTTAAATAAAAAGTCTAATCTTCAAAATGTTCAGGTGTAACATCCAATTCTCGAATGATAATACAACTGAAAGATAATGTGGAAGGTATTCAGCTTACTGAGTGTTAATAATCATGGTGACTACATAAAGGCGATAAACTCTATCTAGAGAGGATGCCATCTGGAGACATCCAAGCAAGTTACTAGAATTAATTGCAGTTTTGTGATTGAATATATCATTGTTTTTCCATTCCATAATGCCAGTTGGTAAAAGTGAAATCTGGAGGAATACATAAACTGTGTCAAACTTTCTAATTAATGCCAGACAACTGGAAGCTCAACAGCTTTCCTGCCCATGCACCTATCTCACAGACTAATGCATAGATTCACACCCAAAAGTCTCAGCACCAGTTTGAATTCCAGATCCTGGGATTTCCAGGCTTTGTGATAGATGTGTGGCCTCAACTGCAGACAGCACAGGAGTTAAAAATGCTAGTTTAAAAACTACCTGCTCAATCTTATGTGACTCACATATAGACCATGAATTCATGGCACTGACTACCCTGCACTTCTACTCACAGTTCAATTGCGTGACAAAAGAGCTGCATGCTGATTTGAGAGTATTCACAATTGAAGGTGCTGCGTTACGCCTTATTTTAACTAAAATAGCTACTAAAATTCCAAACACTATTTTGCGCAGAGTGGTATGAATAAGCAAGCTCTTATTCCACAGGGCACTGAGAAATAACCCTTCTGTCCCTCTCTAAGTTGGATACAACTGCAGGCTGCCAGTCCATTTAAGAGGATAGGAAAAAAATCAAGGAAGCGTCCACTGACCTTTGCAGTATCTGATACTGAATCCCAGTTTCCTCCAGTAAGTGCGTATTTGCCACTGCCAATCCTGGCCAGAATCTCCTCTGGGGTGTCATCTGGCCCATTTGCAAAAGGAGTGAACCTATTAAAAATAAAAGTTTAATTTCCAGGTATTTGACTTCTAGGGTCTAGTGATAAACACCATAGATTTCAACAGGGATTTTCTTCCAGACTGAACTGCAGACATGGTTGCTTCATTTTCACTCAAAATATGCAGTGCACTTTTTCCTCATATTAAGTTGTTTTGCAGAGGAAAGACATTGCATTTTTTATATAAAATTTCTATTATGTTCTCAGTTTTATTGAAGGCAATATACTTTTATAAAATAACACATGCTTTTACTTTTTCTGTATTCATTTTGAATTTGCTTTATTCTTGATAGAGGAACCTTCATATTGGGAATAAAATGTAAAAATAATGAAGGAGAAAAAATAATTTCTGAAATAAAAAAGAAAAAAGAAAAAAAAATCTTTGCAATCTATTCCGCAGTCCTTTGTTAATCATAGCACGCAAGATTGATGGACAAAACAAATTTTATGCAATAGCTGATTTAAAAACTTCCTGATCTAGCCAGTCAGAAATCAGTAGTAAAACATACTCAGCTTTACAAAATCAGTGCCACCGGGCCCAGATATTTTTTCTACACAGACTGACAAGAGATGAATGACAAGATTTTGCAGCTGACTAAAACATACCAGGCCAAAATTTATTCTGTGATTTTAAACAGCTGTCTACTTTTAGAAGAAGGGGTATCTGCGATTTGTATACCTTCCCTTCCATCTGTCTTTGCTGTTGTGGATATACATCAGTTTGTTTCTTCTGCTGTTAAACGGATACTGGGATTTGGCCTCAGTTTCTTATCCCCTTGTTTTGTAAAAGCACATCCAATTTCTCATGCTGTATTTTGTCATTTCCACCAGTGTTTCAGATTTCACAGAAATTCAGCCCAGAAACATACAGGCTGTTATTCTATTCCCATCAAAGGGACACACTGAGTGTTCAGGACTGGCTGAAACTCCACTCTTGGCGTTAATAGTATCCCAGACCTGTGCTCCAGCCCTTCACTTCATGTCTGAGCCCTCTCTGCTCATAGAAAAGCTGGGAAGAGAATAACATCATGGGTGCAAATAATAGTCAGCTCCTACTGCTTTCCTCTGGTAAGGAAGACAAAAGCATTCACAATATAGTGGTGACACCTCAACTGTGTGATTTGTATTTCGGATTCAAATAAATTTAAAATCATAGAATCAAAGAATGGCTTAGGTTGGTAGGGGCATCAAGGATCATCAAGCTCCAACCCTCCTGCCACATGCAGAGCTACCAACCTCCTTTTCGATGTATTTTTTTTAAGAGTGACATTTTAAAACAAAACATTTTGAATGTATTGTCCTGTTTTTAGCTGAGACAGCCCCGTTATATTTCAGATAATGTTGAGCACAACTGTACTCGGGATCGGAATAGGGCAGGAACTCCTGGCACCTCTTCTACAGTTCACAAAGCAAGTGACACAAATTACAGTGACAGGACCTGTTTGTTTTCTGCATGAACTTAGGAATACAAGTTTCTTGCCACAGCTGAATGATCATGAAGTAGAACTAAATTGCTGTGAGTGGTCACTGGATAAATACACTGATAAATAGAATATATATGCACATGTCATAGCCTGCAGCCAGCAAGAGAAATGAAGTTTGGGGGCTTAACAAATCCAGATTGGATTTGCACACAGTGTTTCCTATTCACTCCAGCACACCTTATGCTTATCCCACACTGCTTATTTTACTCTTTCTCTCAGTCCTTTTGCATCAATACTTAGCCAATCCATTAGTAGGTTTCCTAATCCAAATACCCCCTGAGAAGCTCCTGCTGCCTGTTCCTGTCCTTGCTGATCTATTTACTTTGCCTCTTCTGCAGCATATTTTTTTGAATAGCATCTGAAAATGAGGTTTTGTTGTTGTTTTTTTTTTTTAGCCTTTTAAATTGCTCAGATACCTCAACAACAACAACCATAGGAGAAGAATGAAGCTGAAGAGAATACATGTATTAATAGAAACAAATAAATATCCTCTTATGTGTAAGGTGGCCATGATCTGGCATATACTCCAACATTGCTCTCCCAGTGCAACACTTTCACACTACTTAAGTGGTCAGTGAACCTTTTAGGACTCAAAGTCTCAGTGAACATTTACAGGCCCAGGATATTAAAACCAAAGCGGCTCGTAAAGTGTCAAGGATATTCATATGTTTTGGAAAAATTTCTTCGAATTCTAGGTCTCGGCATCTGTTTTCTTGCCTCTTACAACTGAGAATATCTCCTGGAATAGGCCAGGCATTTTGCTGTCTCTATCTTAGACTCCTTTCTGGCTTCATCACTGCTGAAGAATACCCACTGGAGGAAAACCTCTCATCTTACCCTGCCAGCATGGTGTACAACAGGATCCCCAAGCTCCAGATGTCACAGGCTGCATCGTAACCTTGGCGCTTAAGGACCTGTGTGAAGATGGGGGAAAAAATACAAGTTAATCTGATTCCTGAATTTTTGCTTCTGTGTTTCAAAAAGCATTGATCAAAGGTTGTATCAGGCAACATTTCCAGGGCTTGCCCTAATACTTGGCTTGAAGAGGTGTCTGCTCAGGAGCCAGCTGTTGGTAGCAGCACAGAGGGGCTCAGGCCAGGGTTGGTTGTTCAGTGTGCAGGTCCATCTTTACAGGGACTGAGCTGGAGGTGGTGTGTTGGCCTTCAACATCAAAGCAGGGCAACCCTCTCTACTTTTTTCAGCGTTTTAAACATTTCTTGAAGAAAGCTCTAAATACTCTTAAATGTGTCCTCTGATCAGGAAGGTCACTGAGTACACTGTGGACGAATCAAGCATAGGGCTGACTGACAGTGGAAGCATGTCTTAATTTTATTTGGATCTAATACAGCAACTGGATGCTCACTAACTCATATTTTATATCATACTCATACAGATACATTACAACTGCAAAGAAAGCTAAAAGGTTTATCTTACTTCTAGTGTAAGCAAAGTGGCAGCATTTAGATGGGGATTAAAAACTAATCTGTGAAAACTTTTCCACACAGAGAAAGCAAATTTCACGATACTCAGCAGAGATCTGAGAAGGTTCAGGATTGGTACAGGATGGACAGTTAGGCCAGCAAGGATGTAATATGGATTTAATCTATGCAAATGCATAACAGAAGAAATATAAGTTTGAGTCCCTGCAGGTCCAAGTGAAAGTAAAGCCAACAACTGACAAGCACTGCTGCGATCAGGGGAGGAGCTGTGTTTCTTTTTGGCTCAGAAAGACTCATGAGCCACCTCCAGATCTTCTTTGTTCATAAATGCAAACAACCATTCTGTTTACTTAAGTTCTGACACACAAGAAGAGTTTAGTTCCCTTCTGGTGGATCAGATGCATTATTATTATTATTATTATTATTATTATTATTATTATTATTATTTTCAGTTTTTCAGAATTATTTTCAGTTTCAGAAAATGTTGCCTTGACAAATTTTACAAATGATGAGTGGTAAAGCAGCCATCTGCCATGCTGCTAGAACATTTGCCACACTGATATAATATGGAGAAAAAACACACTTTCTCTTGTGACGAAGCTGGTAAAAATCCTTCTTCTACCTTTCTCTCCTGTGCTTCACGTGTACTCTCAGACTGTTTAAATTGTTCCTATGGCTTTAGTTTGTGCATTCATTGCTCCTCTAGAATTTAGAATTTAGAAGTTAGAATTTACGGGAAAAAAAAACCCCAATCTTTTCTATTTGTCAAGCTCAGTTGCTTCTTGCTTTATATGTGAGACTGAATACCCAACATTTATCCCTTGGTGTAGGCATTCTTGTTGCTTCTTAAGCAGTTACATTTTCATTGCCATCACTGTCTTTCTCAAATAACAAAAGGACAATAGAGTCAAATACAAATGACAGAAAAATTAGGTAGTGATGAAATTTAGAGAAGTAGGCTATTAAGCAAGTATCCACACAGCCCCAAAATGATGGGTGGGAGTTGCTGATAGCATTCAATTTGCAACAACTCTGCAAGACAACAGGGACATGGACTCTGTTCCATTTCCTAAGAAAGCTTTGGTGGCAGATACTTCTCACCTGCAGCACCATCACTCCATGGATAACAATAGCAGACAGTTAGTTAGTGGTGACATTGCTTTTCTAAAATGTCTCTAGCTGACTTTTGCAACTGTTGTAAAAGGAAGAAAATGAAGCTGGCAGGAGCAAGTGCTAGAAATTTTGACCAAAATGGGGCTTTATGAGGGGAGGAGTGGGGAGATCATTGAACAATAACTTGTATCCTAGAAACAAATCTAAGTGAAAGCAAGAAATCTAAGCTTAATGAAAGAGCTTTGCAAAAGTTTCTGCCCACTAACAAGGCTCCAGTTCTAAGAGAAGGCTCTGGAGAGAACTCACTGCGGTCTTCCAGTACTTGAAGGGAGCTTATAAGCAGGAGGGAGACGGGCATTTTTCACGGTCTGATTGTGAAAGGACAAGGGGGAATGGCTTCAAACTAAAAGAGGGTAGATTTAGGTTAGATGTTAGGAAGAAATTTTTTACTCAGAGGGTGGTGAGGCACTTGAACAGGTTTCCCAGAGTGATTGTGGATGCCCCATCTCTGTAGGTGTTAAAGTCCAGGTTGGATGGGGCCCTGGGCAACCTGATACGGTGGGTAGCAGCCCTGCCCACAGCAGAAGGCTGGAGCTAGATCTTTAAAGTCCTCTCCAACCCAAGCTGTTCTGTGATTCTATGATTCTCTGGTAGACTGCTGGAGAATTTAGGGTCTAGGTCACCTAAAGAATTTGGTGGGATCTGAAATACATTCATGAGCTGCTTTTTAGCTCCACACATGGCAGAATGTTGTGGTGCCCAGAACCAAACTTCAGCTCGATTCATTCAGTTGTGACAGTGAGTCAGATACTTCTCTAAATTCCTCCTGTTTCTATGCATTTTGATTTACTGAATTAACAGTGTTATAAATACAGCCTTTCTCAGCTGTGTCAAAGACAGGGATACATATGGGCATGAAAGATAATAATCTTACGATTTTTAATGAAAAAAAAAAAAAAAGAGTTCAAAGATTTTGGAGGAAATCTGCAGAACGAAGTCCTTTTAGTTTGTGCAAGGGCTATGCTGGGGCTCAGTAGGCTGTTCACTCGCTGTTCACTCTCTGCAAACAACATTGCTCACGCTAGGTGGCAGAGTGCTTCTTTCTTTCTGAGAATTTTCAACCTACCCAATATTCTCATCCGAACTACAAATTAAATGTTTCCAACACTAAAGCTAGACTGAAGTAGCAAATATGTCATCAGCCCTCTGCTGCTATCCTTCTGTGTCATCATTCGGTCTGACTTCCTGCCTTCTTTGCATACTGCAGATGCTGCAGTGGGGCTCAGAAAATGCAGAAGCCAGGTCCAGGCTGGAGGGCAGTATTATATCACAAGTAAAATGTAAGTAGTGAGGCCTCTGTGTAAACTCTCTGGCAGTTCCAGTAACATTTCAGTTAATCTCAGACATCTCCTGCTTTTTAGTTGGACTTGTCTTGCTCATCACAAACAGGGAATGTGAGTTCTGCCTTCGGTTCAAACCAGAAGAGGCTAAACTGAAACAGCACTGGGCTGATGACGTTTGTGATTACAGACACTGAACAAAACAGCCCATCAGGAAAACCACATACACCTATTTTAATCACATCGTATCTTGGAGAAAACCTCAGAGGTCTAAATCTTACTAACACAATTAATTTTTTATTTTGAAATTAAACATCTGTGGGTGCCACAGATCTTTCGTTACTTATTTTGATACATTTCATATAGCTCATTCCAGTATCTAAAATGAAAAAACATCCAGACAATGATAAAATAACAACCCAATCTGTTTTGGCAGTGGAAGGTTTTTTTACTGAAAAGAAAAATATTTGTTTGAATTTATACTGCCCCTGATAATACTCCCAAATTCTCTTTCTGGTGCTGGATCCTTGTATCTTGTGGCATCATGGAAGGACCATGTACAGGAAGATCATCTCATTTTTTCACTTTTCAGTTGCATCCATGCAGAAGAGCATTGGGTGGAGGACAGTTATGAGGAAGAAAAAGAGAGAGGAGCAGCACCCACTGACAATGCAAAACTACCACTCCCTGAATGTGGGGCTTATTTAGCTTGTCTCCATTTTCACATCTGTAAAAATAGGAAAGTAGCCCTCTCCTTCCTCACACAGTTGTTGTTAGCTCTGGTAGTGATGGGAACCTCAACATATTGCAATCAGCAGAAAAGGGCAGGTCAGTTCTGGGTTATTACTTGCATCAAACAGTCTGTTTCTCCATGAGCAGCTGGGCAGGGTATGGTAAGAGAAACGATATAAGAAGCCCAGAGACTTGATGCCACAAAGAAATTTACTCCTTGTTTCCAAAATGAGAGTAAGGACAGACAGGAAGGCCTGTGAGAGAGGAGTTTTGAGATTTATACAATTTTCCTATCTTTATTATTAGTCCCTGCATCCCCTGAACTTGAAAAGATCAGGAGGAGGGATGTTTCAGTGTTCCAGTGAAATCATTGCAAAGCTCCTACCAACTTCATTGTTGTGAAGATTTCATCCATGGGTATTTCTTTTGGGTCTTACTTCTGATATTGAGACTAAAAGCAACTTCCCCGAAAAGACTGACAGGAATAGGAAACTTAGTAATAAAAGCTGTGAAAGTTCCTGTAGCTGTGTGTCTGCCCTGCTCCTCTTTGAAAGGCAATGAGAAAAGGGTGAGAGGGACAGAAGACTTCTTTCTATGCCATATGTGTCAGCCACAGCTTTGAAACGTGATCCTACCTCAGGGGCGACAAAGTTGGCGGTGTAGCAGGGAGTCATGAGCAGCCCATTCTCTGCTCTCAGTTGCTTGGCAAAGCCAAAGTCACAGATCCTGATGGAGTCTGGGTTTCCTGACTCATCCATGTAGAGGATATTACTTGGCTTCAGATCTCTGTGAACCACCTTAATGAGAAAGCAGTGAATAATGAGTAAGGAGAGGAGGAGCACACAGGATTGGCTACCATGTCTGGTTTGTTGTTTGAGTAAGTCAAGAGCTTGTACCCAAGGTGTTTCCGTTTTGGAGAAAAGCTGCATAAAAACCTCAGGTAAATAAAGGAGAAAAAAAAAGTTTAAAATCTGTTAAAACAAAAATGAGTATGTTTTGCAACCTCTGCTGAAATATGATGGAACCAGCTGTTCTAAGGAGGGGCAACCTTCTTGAAGGCAGTCAAAGGGGCTGCTGTACAAACACACTGGTGTCAGGGTCTCTCAGATAGCCCTGAAATATTCAGCTAGAAAAGTCACAGTGAAATCCTGCCATTGGAGGAAAGCATCTTCTTGTGACTTAGAAGTGGTTAACGTTCAAAAAGAAAGGCTATTTTTCACAAAAATCTTCCCTGTAGGCAACCAATGCTGCATATTTTACAGCAGGTACTGCATTTCTATGGTGGGGAAACAACTTTTACTGATTATACAACTGGAAAACTATCATGAATACATACTGGTCCAAGCACAAAATATGCCTGCTTTAACCATGAAAGGAAAAAGAATCAAATATTTGACCAGTTATGCAAACTGTTTGTCCTTGAAAAGTGGAAAAGGAGAGGAAGCTTGGACTTTAAATCAGCTCTTCAACAGCATGTCAGGAAACTTTCGCATCAGCTGCTCAAACTGTCACTTCAGTTTGGAAGCTGAGCATTTATTTTTTCCACCTGTCTCAGATAGATTTCTACCTGACTCAGATGTTCTATTGGAAAATCTGATAAAAGATACTGCAATAATTACAGCAATAAACAGAAAGGAATAGCAGTAAATAATTACTATGTCAGAAAGATACCTGAAAATCATTATAGTTCAGGGATGAAAACACCACTTTGATGTACTCTAGTTCACATGCAAAATGGCTAGAAAGGCTACAATCCTTTTTTACATCTCAAATACAATTCTGAATGTGGAAAAAGAATGAAACATAACTTCACTGAACTCTGTTTTTTGTGGAAAAAAATACGTTTGTATTTTAGAGAAGGATAATCACACCCATGTGCTTTTTCAAAATGTTGGAGTTTACAGAAGTTGCTGCAGAGAAGCAAAAATGTAATGCTTACCCCCTGTGAGTGCAGGTAGTCCACAGTCCTGGTGATAGTGCACAGCACAGCGCTGGCCTCTCGCTCTGAAAAACACTTCTGCTGAAGAATGCGGTCCAGGAGCTCTCCTCCCCGCATCAACTCCATCACCAGGTACACATATTTCCCATCATCATAGACCTGTGAGAGTAATATAATAAGCATATATTTTGGACTCAAGCTTCATCTAACTTGGTGAAGATCTGCTCTTTAATCAGCCTAGTGGCTTGAACGTAAGATGTTGGAAGAAGAAAATGTCAGCTAATGCATGGGAAATGTGCTTGTTATGCTTAACATCAGAAAAGACAACTTCATAAAACAACTTCATCATCACTTTTTTCTCGTGTCTGCAGCAACTTGTTGATTTGTCCATGCAGAAACTCAGCCTTCCTGATCTGCTATCATGTCGGCAGAGTAGACCAAACTGCAAAAAGCAGCACAACTTCACACAGCCTGAAATGTCTCCTGGCTCTCACCCAAGCTTCCTTCCCTGTAATGTTCTCTTTCCCGTTTTACAGAGTAATGTTTGCCATTTTAAATACCAATATTTCCCTTTGAGTCATGATCAGCTAAATGAGCTGTATTATACTGTTGGCCAAGACCAGCTTCCAATGATGTCATAGAGTTTTTATTTGCAGTTCTGGTGAGTATATTGGCGTGAGCTGTATCATGTACTTATTTTCAATGTCAATTGAAAGGGGGAAAAGACATTTCTTTGTCTAAGTTGGAAGATGTCCATTTTCATGTCATAATCCCTTATCTAGGTTAAAATAATAGACAGTGTTACAGTCAATGCCAAGTGCTTTTGGAAAGGAATATAATTTCTCTTTTGCACAGTTTTAAGACACTTTAATATTTAGGAATTGAGTGAGATTTTCTTGGGGTATGTGATCAGAAAATGTAGACTTCTGTAAGGTGTGAACCATAATGAGTTACTGGCTGGAAAATTACTGGAAAGTACTGCAAAACCAGGTGTATTTTGTTGTTCTCCAGCATGGTGCACCTTTGATTTTTTCCACAGTTGATTAGACAAGACTTGGAGAGTGTACAACCTGACTTGTTTTTCCATTTGTTAGCCAATAATTTGTTAATGCCATCTTTTTTTCCTTGACTTCAATGTGTCTTGTTTTAACTCCAAACTTAAATTAGAGAATTTTCCAGATAAGAGGCGAGTCTGATCATAAAGTGAAAATTATTTAATATTGTAGTGCTCAGTGAGTACTCACATCTTTAAGAGTAATGATGTTTGGATGCTGTCCGTATCGCAAGAGAATCTCTATTTCTTCAGAGGGGTCTCTCTTGCTCTTGTCAATTATCTGGAATAAACAAAGCACTGAGTGGTAAAATACCAGCTAGTAGCATAAAGAGCAAAACCAAACTTAATATCTAAAATTCTTTCACTTATAATTTTTCTAGTAAAGGCCAGCTCAAAAATCTAAAAATGATATTTGAAAAGTCATGATTGTCAGACGAAGTCCCTGATGACTGGAAGAAAAGACAGTATCACACCCACTTTTAAGAAGGGTAGAAAGAATGACCCAAGAAATTACTAACTTGCCAGCCTCAACTCTGTGCTAGAGAAAATCACAGAACAGACTTTCCTGTGCTAAGACACATGGAAGACCGGGCTGTGAAACAAGATAACCAGCACAGTTTCATCAAGGGCAAGTCCTGCCTGACCAACCTAGTGGCTGCCTATGATGGCATAATTGCCTTGATGGACAAGGGAAGAGCCACCGATGTCATCTGTCTCTTCAGTAAGGCCTTTGACACGAACCGCCATAAAATCCTTCTCTCCAAATTGGAAAGATATGGATTTGACAAGTGGACTGCTTGATGGATGAGGATCTGGTTGCAAGAGCGCACCCAAAGAATGAAGGTAAATGGCTCAATGTCCGGATGGAGATCAGTGATGAGTGGTGTCCATTAGGGGGGCAGTTCTGGGACTGATGCTCTTTAATGTCTTCATCAGTGACTTCAACAGTGGGACATGAATACACCTTCATCAAGTTTGCAGATGATACCAAGCTGTGTAGCGCAGTTGACACACCTGAGGGATGGAATGCCTAGGTTCAGAGAGACCTAGACAGGCTTGAGCAGTGGGACCACGAGAACCTCACAAGGTTCAACAAAGCCAAGTGCAAGGTCTTGTAGCTGGGTAATGGTAACCCCTACTATCAGTAAAAGCTAGGGGATGGAAGGACTTAGCATAGATCCACCAAAAATTCTCAATCAATTCCCAATCTTGCCCACTCAAGAGAACTGATTAGTGATTCTCTTTTATACATGTGATAACTACAAACAAACAAACAAACAAAAAACCTGCAAAATAACTCAAAGAAGATACACTTCAAAATTGAAATGTAACTTCACAGGGAGTAGCAAAAAGTTTGTTCTACTAGGAACTCATTAGGAGCGAAATATTTTGGTAAGAATTTCTTATTTCTAGAAAACAGCAGCAGTGCACTCTAATAATAGGTTTACAGAAGAATAATGGGTGGTATTATTAAGATATTCGTAATTCCATTATTGGATGTGAAGGCTTCCAACCTTAAATGTGATTAGCTCTTTGTAAGAACTCAGCACAGAGCACAGATTCAGTGCTGTTTGAAGGGAAATGTCTTTTTAAAAACCTCTTTTGTTGATGGAGATAAATGCTTGTCTGTTTTTGCATGCATTCTCATTGTTTAATTATGGTGATTCACATTTAAGTACACATGTAAAATTTAGTGCATCAGTCATATTAGTGCATACATCAGAGGTTTTGTATTCCTCATGATTGACATGCATTTGTACAGATAATGATGATGGTGGTTGCCCGTGGTTCCAGTATGCATCTAAAGCCATATGAGTGATTTGATTCTGCCCGAACAGCAGTGTGACAAGTTCAAGTGCAACAGGGAGCTAATGCAGGGAAACGGCAGTTGTCCGCCTTTGAATAAATGAAGGTAAAAATCCAGCAACAGCAGAGAGGAAAAAATCCTACTAGACTTCTCCTCAGAATAATGTTGTTCTTCTAGTTCATTACAGACATTCTCAAAAACCCAATGAAATCCCTCGTAAATAAAACTATAATGGCCGAACGTTTCCCACTCATCCAATAACTAGCATATAAAAAGATACTATGGACCACTTTTTTGGCTGGAGCAAAGTAATATAGCCCTTGTCAAATTAATGGAGTTACATAAATGTGTGCTCGTTGAGATCTACCTGCCTCCTACAAACCAGCAGAACAGCAAGTATTACTGCTACTGTGGGAAGCACTGTTACCACCATGGTGCTGCAGCAAATGATACATTCTGGGTTGTTTTTCCTGTAAAAGAAGGTATCTAGGGCTGTGAAAAACTTTAAGCAGCTATTAATAATGCAAGAATATAACTACGTACATATTGCCTAAAAAAAATCCAAACCAAAATTAGTCCTAGCTATTGAAATAAAACTCATAACCTGAAGCAGTCTGCTAGTGTTTTAGTGGCAACAGCAGCAGACAATATGCAATACTTCTCAATCCCAACATGCTTTATAAATTTTCATCTCAAAACAGCCCTGTTAAATACACAGAACTTTTACTTCAGTATGTGCAGAAGCTGTGACTACATGGACAAGCTGCTCAGAAAACCCAACCCACCACTGCAGAGCCCCCATGGGGCAGACCCTCAGCTCTCTCCGCAGCCCTGTGACACCGTGCAGTCAGGATGGTTGCCACCACTTCACCATTTTACAATTGGCTAGAAAGGGGAAGGCTTTAGTGGGAATGGAATGATGTCACTCAAATGACACATGTACTTCACTTATGTGACATTCACATAAAACCAGAACACTGAGTGCCATCCAGCCAAGGAAACGAGGCATGTGACACTCTCACTCCATTGTTGCTCAGACTACTCATTACACTAAAATCTCAATGACTGACACTGATCCTGTCTTCTTGGTAATGACCACTCTCATTTACCCAGATGGTTATTTGAAGGAGCTTCAGTGTGAGTAGGAGCCATAGTCAGCACGAAGGGGCATAGGCCTGAGATGTTCCAAAGTCTTTGTGATGTTTATCCATGTGCACATCTGTATGTCAGTGCCAAGAAAATGAAGCAGCCTTTACAGTAACTTGAGAAGTGTTCATTAAGGCAGATCTCCTGATTGTCAGAGAAGGTGAGGGATGCACCACAAAGTCCAGCAGCTGCTGAACTTCCCCCTGGGAACAAACAGAGATCTATGCTCACCAGTCCCTCCTGGCTCCCAGGGCTCTGCTGCCATGGGGTTTCCCATGGCAAAGGGCTTCCAATCTCCTTTCCAGTAGGCTTTCACCCACAGCAAACTACTACCATAACAGGCACAAACCAGGCACTTTGCTTTCCACTCCACTTTCCACTTTGTTAATGGACCTTCCTCTTGCTCCTTCTCTGGAGTTTGATTAATCCCTCATTTTTAAAGGCCAGTTCTAACATCAGTCCCTAAGCATGGAGAGGTTTTAGCTCTGCCCACAGAATCATCCAGTGGAGACTGTGTGGACCAGACCTCAGCATAGGTAGCACTTTAGGTCCATCTGATGTGGCCATGATCTTCAAATGCAATCTGATACAACATCTCTCAGAGATACACTTTCAGAACAGCCTTTGGCAGGTACTCTGTTCCAATAAAGGCCAGAAACTGTGAGTTGTGTTCCACCTGTACACTGAAGGCTGAAATGCTAGGGAAAAAAAAATGCATGAAATGTTATGGGTATAGATACAAACACTGCTGTACTCCCACTGAACTCTTAATCACATGATTAAAAGCTAAGCTATTTCACTTGTAAAATTTCTTGTGACAAAGAGTATTTCCCAGTCTGGTCTCTCTTTGTTTCCCCTGAGACACTGCATGAAGGCAGCCTCTTTCCTATTCTTCTCTTATGGTGGACCACAAACCTGCAACTCCTTGCACAAGGAATGATCTTCCTTGAGGAAAGTCATCGTGATTTGAACTCAACTAAATACACACCCTCCATTACAGACTTCAGGGAAGGTTTTCTCTGCTTCCAGCCCTGTGGTAATATGCAATGCTGCTATTTTTCTATTCCACTCTGTAGATATATGGGGAAGAAAACCAACTGAGAAAGACATCATAACATATAAATAATTTAACTGAAAATGTAACAGAAGTTCTATTGTACCTTGGAATAAAAGAGCTATGAAGTAGAGAGGTTTATTGCTGTCCTTTAGAAAAATAAGAAACTGAATTTTCCGGATGTACTGGGCACTCAATTGCCTACAAACATTGTAATAACTCTGGAGGAAACAATTTCAGAGTAAAATGAGCTCGACACACGCAAAACTATCCTTTGTTCAGCTTGTTCTAATAGTGATTTTTTTGTGTTATTCCTTAGCTAATGCATTCTTTGTCTATTTTACTGACTAGTTGAAAGAAAAGTTGTATTTTCTTCTGTGGAATTTAGGGTAAAAACCTCATGATATTTTAAAATGAGTCAAGCTCTATCAAGGGTTAATACTAAACTTTCTCTCTTAAAGGAGAAAGGATCAATAGATAATATTTTCAAAATCCTATTTAATATGTCTGGCCAGTTTTCATGAGTGCTATCACAAATCCTCTGCATGGGAAAAAAAAAAAAAAAACAACAAACCACCTGATTCTTCCTTACTGATGGATCTTCAATGTCCTTAGCTTTGCAGGTGTATGGCTGAGCACAAAAAAGAGCAGCAACACAGTTTTGTGTGAGTGGGTCATGCCTCACTGAAAATGAGTGAGTACAAAATATACAGTAACTCTACAGACAGTATATATTTGCTGTCTGCAGTTTTGTGGAGGTATTTTTGTGTCTTTGTACAGATGAATTTCTTCTTCTGGAGCTAGCTATGCCATTAGCAGATGTTACAGTCTTCAGCTGTCTGATACCACCCACCAGGTGAGATCTATAGCCTTCATAGCCCTGCCAAAGAAATGGTATGTGTGAGTGCTCCCTAATCTGCTTTGGGCAGAATTAGCCTTGTTAATGCAAATTGCCTTTATTAAACAGCTGAAATTAACCTGGATGACCTTGTGTGAGGAGGATGACTGTTTTTACATGAAGTTCTCCATCATTACACTTGAGATACTGGAAAAAGGCAAGAGGTAGGAGGTGACAATTTAACTGCCTCTGCTGTCTGGAAAATGAATAAACTAAAAGAAAAGGTAAGAGAAAGGCAGCTGAGTGAGAACGAAGACTGAAAAGAAACATGAAATGTAGTGATGGGAACAGCTCTGACACTGGCCTTAGGAGAGAGGATGGGCTCTGGCCAGGATAAGCTGGAACGAGAAGCAAGGAAACTGCTTGCTGCTGTTT